GCTACCAGAGCTTATGCCTGACAAAAACAAGAAACGGAATCAGATGTCCAGATAGATCCTTAGAACTGAGGAGGGGCAGGAGGCTGGGGGGGGCGGGGTGAAGAAGGAAGAAACTGGTGGATTTCTAACAAGGAGAAACTGAACAGCTGCTCCAAACAGAACACGAGGGGGCTAGCCAGGTCTCTGTGCTGCTTCCAGCCCAGTATGCGGGACCCATGCAGATACCACCCAGGGTGGGTTGGGACCTCAGCTTGAGGCATACTATGTGAAAATCAGTGCCTCCCTCCCTCTCAGTCAGACATGCTCTGGCACTGATGAAATGAATGTAGGTTGACTTTAAAAAAAGAAAAATGATAAAAGGTTCAAGGGACAGGGCTGTCTCAACTCTTTTACAAACACTGAGTCAGCAAGGTGGCCACACCTGTAGGTGTGCTAGAACCCACTGGCTAGGATTGGAAGTTTATCACCTTTCACTGGCACCCCACAAAGTCCACGCCCTGTTCCTTAGCCTAGCAGACTCACCCCTGACTCTAAGTGTTTCTTTGGAAACAACCTTTCCCAGTGCCCAGCCACCAGAAAGAGCCTCTGGGCCCACATACTGCTCATTGCAGGGCTCTATGCAAACACCCCTGGCCAGAGACCTGCCCCTCCGCTTACACACCCCCGAAGATGGGCAGCTCATTCCCAGCAGTGCTACGTGGGGCCACAAGGATGCTGTAGAGCAGCCTGCAAACACCACCGGGGTCTCTCCAGCGTGCACTCTCCTATCTGTCCCAGAAGGGGCTATGAGTAGACAACCGCCCGGCAGCGCAGACCCCAGACTCACTTTTTAGAATCCTTTGCAAATTGCCCTCGAAGTCCAACGCCCACTGGTTGAGCGCGCAGGTGGCCACAGTCACCTTCCGGCCCATCCTGGCCTCCCTCAGTGGTACGGGGGAAAGGCCAGCACGGCGACCTGTTTGTATGTCCTCCAAGCCTGGAGACTGCCCCCGCGCCTGCCCTTCCGGGTGTCCAGTCCGGTAGGTCCCAGGAGAGGTGCGTCAGGCCCCGCCCCTCCACGCCCGGCCACACCCTACAATACCTTGCTGGATCCAAGGTCGCAGCGTCAGGCCCCGCACCCTCACGTCACGCCCCTACACACCCTGCAGGCCCTTGAACCGTAGCTTCAGACTCCTCCCCCTCCAGGCCTGCCCGGCAGGCCCGCGGAACAGTACATCAGGCCCCACTTCCCGCAAGCCCCGCCCCTCCCGGCAGGCCTGAGAGTTGCAGAGTCAGGATCCGCTCCACACCACCCCGCCCCGCCCGGCAGGCCCATGAAACTCTACGTCAGGCCCCGCCTCCCACGAGCACCGCCTCGCCCGGCAGGCCTAGCGAGTTGCAGAGTCAGGCTCCGCCCCACGTCATCTCGCCCGGCCGGCCGGCTTCTGGAACTGGGCGTCAGGCCCCGCCCCCTGTACGCGTTGCCCGGCAAATCCGCGAAGCCGCAGCGTCCCCCGGCTCTCGCCCCGCCTACCCAATGAGTCCCGGTCGCGCCTGCGCACGGACACGAGAGTCGAGGTTCGCTAACCCGGTGGGACTTGCCCACCGGCACCACCGGCGTCATGTAGTCTGACACAAGGAAACGGAACAATAACATAATTATCTAGACTGTTATCCCTACTGAGGAGAAGCGCCAGGGTTGAAAGTGCGGGGCTGCTATCCAAAGCCACCAGCCGAACTGAAGAACGATTTCACTTTATTGTGCAGAGAGGATTGTTGTTAGGTGAGATCAAGCGGATCCTGACTTAACGACCCCCATCTCATACAACAGAACAAGACACTGCCATTGTACCGATCCATCTCATTAAGGGTTTTCCTCTTTATCACTGACTCTCTACTTTGCCAAGCATGATGTCCTTTTCCAGGGACTCGTCCTTCCTGATAACTTGTCCAAAGTATGTGAGTGGAAGTCTGGCCACCCTGGCTTCTAAGGAGCACTCTGGCTGCACTTCTTCCAACACAGATTGGTTTGTTCTTCTGGCACTTTTCATACTCTCCTCCAACTCCAGAACTCAAACGCATCACTACTTCTACTGTGTTCCTTACTCGTTTCTCACAGTTCATCACATTCTCTTGATGTGCAGTGTTGTATTTGTCATGAGTCCTGGTGAGATGCTGTAGGATAAGCTCTGGACTGCTTACCACAAGGTTGACAGTTCAAACCCACCAGCCACTCCCAGAAACCCTATACGGGGTCACTATAGGTCGGCAGTCAACAACATCTTTATCATACATCTGCCTGCTTTCCCTTTTCAAACAACTGTTTCAGTTTGTATTGTTGTTGTTGTTAGGTGCCATTGAGTCAGCACTGACCCATAGCGACCCTGTGCACAACAGAACGAAACACTGCCCGGTCCTGGGCCAACCTCACAATTGTTGCCACACTTGAGCCCATTGATGCTGCCACTTTGCAAATCCATCTCATTGGGGATCTTTTTCTCTGACCCTCCACTTTACCAAACAGGATATCTCTCTCCAGTGACTGGTCCCCCCTGACAATATGTCTGAAGTTTGAGAGATGAAGTTCGGCCATCCTGGCCTCCAAAGAGCACTCTGGCTGCACTTCTTCCAACACAGATCTGTTGGTTCTTTTGGAAGTCCAAGGCACTTTCAATATTCTCCTGCAACACCATAATTCAAATGCATCAGTTCTTAACATAACTATTCCTCCCTTTTTTTTTTGGAGTAACACCTGTTCCTAACAAGCCATCAGAAACTCCAGCAAAGCATAAAAATGTCACATGTTGTCATGGATTGGGTTGTGTTCTCTCAAAATCCCAAAACCGAAAAAGCCTGTGGTTCTAATCCTATTTAGGAATGGACATCAAGAGATTAAACAAGTTTGTTAAGAAGCAGAGGTGTGAGAAGAGAGACCACCAGGATTCAAAGCTCAGAGCCAACAGAGCTCTAAAGCCCTCAATCTGATGTCAGACGGCTAGCCTCCTAAACTGTGAAAAAATAAATTTCTGTTTGTGAACACCACCCCCTTGTCGCATTTTTGTGATCGCAGCACTGGAGAATTAACCATAGTGGCACACTGGTAAAGTCGGTGGGAAAGGTGTGTGGTTGGAACCTACTAGCTGCTCTGTGGGAGAAAGATGAGACAGTTGTTTCTACAAAGATTTGCAGTTTTGGAATCCCGTTCTACTTTGTCCCACAGGGTTGCTATGAGTGGAAATTGGCTCACAACAGTGGCTATATCACTAAACTGCACGTGTTCATTTCATCCTCAGATCAGCCCTTGGAGGTCGTTTTATCCCCCAGAAATCCTCATGGTTGTCTTTCTTCAGTCCTTCAGATGGCTTCTCATGGATCTTGGACCACAAATGTAGCCGGGCAGGGAAGGTCCTCGAACGTGTGTGTGTGTGTAACAGATCATAGGATGTTACAGTGTGATGAATTATTTCCTGTGTCCTTTCTAGCACACGGCAGTGTTTGTCACCAAGTGACTGGGCTGTTGGCCTTGTTAAGTGCTGTCAAGTTGGTTCCGACTCATCGCAACCCTGTACAGTGTTTCCAAGGAGCGGTTTCCGGGATGAATTTGAACCTCCAATCTTGCAGTTAGCCGTGTAGCATAACACCAGGATTGGACATTGTTGTTAAGTGCCGTCAAGTGAGTTCTGACTCATAGCAACCCTGTGTATGGTTTCCGAGGAACAGTTGGTAGGTTTGAACTGCTGACCTTGTGTTTGCAGTCCAGTAGATAGGACTACGCCAGTGTGAGGTACATGTGGCCCACCAAGGAGACTGGGGAACTTGCTAATAATATAAGTAAGGTACATGACCCCCTTGTGGGATGGGACCATGCAAATAAGCTATTTAGAACTCTAAGTGGGGATTGGATCCTGGTGCGGTGTTATAGGATCAGCATGGACTGCTAACTGTGAGGTTGCTGATTCAAACCTATCAGTGATTCCCTGGAAACCCTATACAGGGTTGCTATGAGTCAGAACTGACTTGATGTTACTTAACAACAGCATGTGTATACAAAACATTGCACCATTATAATGGCTCCGTAAGTAAAACAAAATCCATTGATCCTGACCTGGGCTATAAAAAGTCAAATGAAATAAGGAAGTGAGCGTTCTTTCTAGAAGAATGCCTGCTAATCATTATAAGGGAATGCCAACGTTAGGAAATCACTACATTGTAACAAGCACTCGGGCAGTCAGCCAATCATCAGTGTTTTCAGTGCCAGACCACTGGGTGAACGCTGGATTGGGAACATAATCCTGTGTTGTTGTTCGATGCCACCTAGTTGGTTCTGACTCACAGTGGCCCTCAGGTACAACAAAACGAAACCCTGCCTGGTCCTGGTCATTCTTCCAATCTTACCTGCGTTTGAGCTCACGGTTGCAGCCCAGGTGTATGTTCATCATCCTTACAGTCTCCGAGTATTACTCCACAGGTTGTTTACACAATCTCAGAGGAAATGGAGAAACCTGGCAGGAACTGTCTACGCCCTAGGATCAAATTTATCAACGATGGGACAATGGCATTTGTATAAACAGATGATAGCATCTCTGTCCCATGCCCTCGTCTATCAGTGTGTCCTGCTGTAGTAGCTTGCATGTTTCTGTGATGCCGGAAGCTATGCAGCTGGCATTTCAAATACCAGCAGGGTCACCAATGCTGGGCAAGTTTCAGTGGAACATTCAGACTAAAACTAGGGTGAAAGATCAGGTGACCTTCTTTCAACTATTAGCCAGTGTATTAAAATGGTGCAGAGATGCTGTCTCACATCAGCATACTCCACAAGGGGGAAGAAAGAGATGCCAAATCAGTTACAATCCAAGGCTGGGTCCTACAGCGGACAAGTCTCCGCTTCCAGTCTTTTCACCTGGTCCGACACCATCTACCATTCCCACGGCTCTCTCTGGATTCTAGAATTTAGTACAGTAGTCACACGACATTCTCAGATGACAACCTCAGGGATGGGGTTACTAAGGAAGTTCCAGGTTACAATTTACGACCAGGAATGATTGATTTCAGACTCAGTTCTGTCAGGACAGCCGCTTCTCAAGCCTTACGGACAGACAAGCCTCTCTCTGGCCCTCAGCTTCTCGGCTCTGACAAGTGTCACAAAGCGTGCAGTACTGCTAGTAAGCCTTGTCTAAAGGCTTTCAATTGTCTGCTTGCTCCATGGATTAGATGTTCTGCCAAGTGTTCTGAGGCACCCCAGTCTCCCAGGAAGACTCCAACCTGAAGGCACTTGGCTCTTATGTTAGACGGTAGTTCAAGAAAATGCACTCGGAGGCTCAGAGACCTTAATGACAAGCCTTTATTCAGCGGATCCGCGAAGAGAGACGCACTTACGCCTAAGTGCCAACAAGGGTCTGTCTCTCTCCCTCCCTCTCCCCAGAGGTTTTTTTAAGGAAAAATATGTTCCAGGTGGCCAGTGAACTCCCGGAGATATCTCTTGTTTGCTATTTACACCTTCTCTGTGATGTACTTTGATCTCCCCCATAACTTCACTTAATTTATTCTTCCCAGGACAAGAAGGAAGATGAGGGTCGGTTATCGGAACCGAGATAAACATATAGGCAGTACATTTATCTATTCCTCTAGCTGTCACAAGGCACTAGAGGCTATAGTAAATCATGATTACATTACAACAATTCATGTCAGGGTTGAGTTACATCAAAGCTACTACGTGAGCTAAGCCTTGGAGAGTCTACATCAAAAGCAAGCTGAAGATAATACATTGATTAATAGTTAGCAGGTGTTAGATGTTAGACATGAACTCCACAGTCCTTCACTTGCCAATCTCCTGGTTCTGCTGCTGCCACGTTTCTGTCACCATGTCTGCTGTCATGGTTCACTTTGTCTCTGGGGTCTAGGAGGTTCTCAGCACAGGGACCTCAGATCCATC